ATGCGCGTGAGTGGCATTAACCTCGGCATTTACACTTTACAACGGTGTCAGCGGTGCGTTTGTATGTACATACACAGTGCGAGGACCAGCAAGAAGAGCAAAGAGTGCTTGCTGTAAATCTAAATGAAATGATCTAAATTATAATTTCGATCGGTGACACACTCTGCACAAATTAAACTTTTAATTATTACCACGCGATCGCGGGTGAAAAGAGGAATAGCTGGCAGACCAGCTCGATTCTCTCCATCACGTATGTACGTTATATAGTCCTGCAACGTGCAGGTCATTAATCTTGCTTGTGATATCGGTACCGAGAGAAAGAATTAAGAGAGAGTGCATCTTAACGGCCGATTGTTCATCACGCAAGCGATCCGTATTATCAAACGAGAACGCGAATTATTTGCAACATCACGTAAAGAGTAAACTATGCGGCACGACGGTATTACGAGATATCGTCCAAAGTGCAACCTGTAATGGCGGCTGATGAAAGTATTTGCCATTGCGCGCCACGTATGTTCGCCAAGCCGGCAAACGTTTGTCTACTCGTCTGAAAATAATCGGAAATAAATCGGACAATCAATTAATTTTGTCGTTTTCTTTTCGATCGTTATCCCACCAGTTTCGATCCCATCAGTCGATAATAATCCGCGATTCCTTGTCGCCCAGTTTTCCACGATGTCGGAGAACAGCGATCACTCGCCCGACGACACCGAGACGGAGACAAAGGCGATGGAAGATCTTCCTAACGATTCATCCAAGAGCGAAACGAAATTAATGAATCAGACCGACACGGCTCTGCTCGAGGATGAGGAAATGCCGACATACATCAGTGTGTCTAGTATCACAAGACCAGATGACTCGGATATTGTTAACATGAAGCAGCGTGAAAATGAATCTCGAGAGATGGAAGGAGATCGTAGCCCGAGTCCCTATCCCAGCGACGATCAAGCAGCGAGTAGTGTGTATGTTTTATCATCTGGAGAAGAAACCGATCAACATCCTTATAATGACGAAGATGACGAAGATGAATATGGAGATAGTGATGGTAAGTTAATAAAAATAAAGAGATTTGTGCCTGATTTAGACTATACTTCGATCTTAACTCTAAACTTATAAAAATTCAGCCAATGGAATACAGATTTCAGTTAGAACCAATTTCAGTTAAGACTGGCAGACCTATTGGCTGAATTAGGATTTTAGGGTTAAGACCGAAGCATAAACCAAGCATTATAGATAATAAGAGAATAGAATTTGGCTTAGTACATATTCAACTGAGTAATAGTCGATGTCTTTGCACTTATAATATTGATATAACTGTATATTTCTTAGTATGTAGCTTTCATTATGTTACAGATATGGAAAATTTAGAACTTGATAATGATTTTGATTCGGATCATCCAAATAACATGAAGCATTTAATGGATGACGAGGATGATGATGATGAAGATGACGAAGATGAAGAAGATGATGAGGATAGTCCTAGACAAATGCATGATGATGGTATCGATGATAATTACGAGACAGATTATTATGATGGAAGATCTGATGATTTTATCTTCAATAGGAGATTGAAAAATCGTCACAAAGAAAAGAGCCTTTCTCTTCAAGATTTAAAAGTGTATAAGAATAATATGAATGATGGATATTTTAAAAGAAGACATTCACAAGGTTTAAGATCAAATTATCCAAACATTCCAGAACAAACTATTGTATATTCTATGATTCAGAGAAAGCAACCAATACCAGGAAAATATCATTATGTACAAAGCAAAGTTAAACGCTATATCAAAGATATAAAAGACCAAAATAGACGTTCCATCGAAAAACATGTAAAACAACATCAGGAAGATACAACCCACTATAAAAGCAACAGTGATCACAAAAACAATGACACAGAAAAAACAATGCCTACAGTGACTAACAAGACAATAAAAGATTATGCCGAAAGAACGATCAAGGAGTTGGAAATCGCAGAGACATGCGAGAATAGCATGGATAAAGTGGCCTACAATACTATTACTACGCCAATAATATTGAATGGACAAGAAAATAAAAACTGTTTAGAGTCAATACAAGAGGAATCCATACAGACTCAAGTTCAAATAGATATACCATTTGAGTCAACACAAAATGAAAGAGATCTTATGAATACAGATAGTAAAATGCAAAAACAAAATGGAACAATTGAAGATAAATCATTAAAATTCAATTATACTGATAAAGAAATTCCAAATTTTTCATCTCTCACGCAAAATGGTCATCAAGAAATACCAACAGTATTTTATGATTTGCGAACTTTAAGTTATGACGAGTACATGCATGGCACTTCTAATTCTAGTCAAAAAACTGATTTAAATAAAAACGCCCATGTTATTGAACAAGGACATATTCAATCTGAGGCATTTAATAATTCAGATCTAATGGAAGTATCCACAGATGGAGAAGAAGATACTTGTTCTTTAAGGATTGAGAATATTAAAAGCATTAAGACAATGTCAGATGAAGCAAAACATAATAAGCAAATAACTTTTGAGAAAACAAATGAAGAATTTAAGACGACTTTGGATACTTCAGAAGTTACCACATTGAAAAAGAAATTAACACAGAAGACTGTAAAATATAACAGTCTGCTTGATACATATCAAAAGCAGCTTATGGAAAATTTAAAAATGAAACAGGAATTGGATGAACTGAGAAAAACATTAGCAAAATATGAAAAAGAAAACAAACCTCCGGAACAGAAGGTTGCATCAGTTCAAACAGACGTTTTCATTGATTCTGTATCTAATCAATCCCGAGATCAAACTGAGCCTATACATGTCAAACAATCCAATAATAAAATATCAGGTAGTAGTGTAGCTTCGACGCTAAGCTCTATAGATCAGTGGAGTTCCAGTGCTTGTAATTTATCAGTATCCATTAAACCACCTGAAATAACAAAAACGTTACAGTCTGACGATAGTATAGTACTGACTGATGGTACACCAAGAAAAACACGTTCATTATCACGCGCATTTATTACTTCCTCCCGAATCTTGCAAACTCTTTCAAGTATTACACAGGGAAAAACAAAGCCAGAAAGTCCATTGGTACAAAATTCAAAGAAAAGATTAAATGAAAATGTATCGATGAATCTAAATCAAAATGATGAAAGTAATTATCAATGTCTCCCTTCCAGCTCTAAGAAAAGAAAGATTACAGACATTCTTGAACCATCTAATTTTCTACAATCTTTTAAAGTTTCCCAAACTTCTGTAGAATCACATTCAAAATTAAATGAAACGCCTTCAGAATCTCAATTTAAAAACTCGTGTGATTCGGTAAATAAGAATGTAGATTTGCAATCAAGTTTATCTAATGCAAGTCAATTAGGAGCTGCTACATCTATGGTAGAAAGCAAGACAGAAACCGTTGATGATCCAGAGGATAATGTAAAGTGCTTTGTATATCGTGAGGATGAAAATAGTAAAGATCGCAGTTTTCTCATTCTAGCAGAGGAGCCTGAAAATGATAAGGCTATTAATGAAAAAGGACGCAGACGAGAATGCGGTCCGTACTTGCTTGGTAATGTCGAAGTAAGAATGTCTGAAATGAACGGAACAATCAATATTTGGGGTAAAGAGGTAAGTGATCTTATAATTTATAAAGGAACTAATTTCAAGAATCCGTACTCAAACTCAGATGTATTTTTCAGATCAGTCAAGAATCCACTGTTGAAACTGAAAATGATACAGAAGCATCTACTAAAATGAAAGACAAAAATCATCATTATTGGCAAAAGACACCAAATACTAGATTCAATGGCAGTAATTTAGTATGTTCAACAAGTAAAAAATCAAAAAGTCCTCCTAAATTTGAATTATCTTCAGCAGCATCTAATTTTTCATGTCTACATTCACCTTCGTTTAACATAGCAAAAGCATCTTGTTCTACAGATAAAGCAGATAAGTTATGTAGTTCAAATGCATGCGAAGACTGTGATTTCTCAAAATATCGTAAGGAATGGCTAAGATATAAACGAATACATCCCCAAGAAAAATTACATTCCTGCTGCACTCATGATATAGACACGTCAGAGAAGAAGTGCAACTGTTCCTTACATAACGAAAAGCAAAAGTTTGAAGATAGTTTTATTTATAGCAAAGAAAAGTTAAGCACTCAAGAACATCGACAAAGTTTTTCAAGAAACCTGGAGCCTAACAAGCATTTACATGAAAATATTGCCTCAGAAGGCAACGAGTACATTTGTAAAAATTGTACGACATGTCATCATTCACCGCACAATCCAGAGAATTGTCAAGAAAATCACAAATGTTGTACCATGTTAAAAGAAACCTGTGAGCCACTAATGATGAATATAGATCGGGAATATAACGAATCATGTAGTCATTCATCTCCTAATATACATGAAGAAGAGCCGTTAATAAAGCTGAAACAATGTAGTGAAAGACCAGAGGTGAGTTCACGCAATGTACAAATAATTTTATGAATATAACAAAAATTTGTATGGTTATAACTGTATGTGCGACACATAATTATTTTCTCTTTAGGCGAGGCGACGAAGAATAATTGGGAAAAGGGTACGAGGAATTTTAATGGATCTCGTACGAGGGTGTGGAGATTGTTATAATGCTAATTCTAATATATCCGGTAATAACAAAAGCTGTACACACGAGAAGGAATCTTATTTAAGAAGTTGTTCTCCACAAATCAAAATTTCGCCGTGTGCATCTCCAGAACCATTGTGTTCAAATGCAGGACAACCCGGAAGGTGTGCTTTCAAATATTTCTTAAAACTTTTTTCATTATACATACAGTGTTTCATAATTGTGGTAGTAACTAGATGTAACATTATTTATGAAATTTATAATATTTTTCGTTAGTAAAAGTGAAAAAAATCTCAAATTGTACTAAAACTAAATACTTGCTCCTTAGATTACATATAATATCAATCTTTTAATATCAAGATTGTTTTACTTATTTACAGATGCTGCCATGCATACGCACAGCGAATTGAATCTCAACTGGAAGAATTTCGAATGGAAATGGAAAGAATGCGATCGCGTTCGGATGCTATTCTTAATATGCTCAATATGCTTCATTCAGTGGATACAAACTAAATCCATCTCAATGTTAATTTTTTTCAAATGTACATACATCATATTTTTATTGTTTATTTTTTTTCAGCCACTATGGAATTATCATAGTATCGTCCTATTTTATTGCTTATAAAAAAACTATATAGTCGTTAAATAAATATATAATGAAAAAGATATGTTTACATCCAATATATGCATATCTAACAATGATACATGCCATTTTTGTTAAAATTTCTGATAAGATAGCATTGTATCTATGCATTCATATTCATAATATATTTTCCATGTGAAGAAAAAGATTTGTGTGAAATAGTATATGATAAGTACTACAATTAAACGATGTGTTAAGAATAATGATATAAATAATCGTTATACAGTAAATGTGCATAAGTCTTGATTTTATTTTTTTATGTTTCAAATGTGTCGTTTATAATTTCAAAATTTATAAAAAAGGTGACACGGTATAACAGTTATTTATCAATCAACTTTGTCAATTGTATCAAAATTGTGTCATTACTTAAAGTATAAATGCATAACAAGGCTTGTGTGTGACATCGAGTAATATATTTTAATTTCGCTATATCGAACAAAAATATATAGGATTATTATTGAAAAATCATGTGCATTTAATAGTTGCAATCGCAAGAATCGTCTACTGGCAAAGCACTTGTCGGTGCTTCTCCTTGTCCGAGAAAGATATTGCTATAAGAAGTCTTGAGATAGTTTACATGACCCTGTAACGATTTTATACGGCCTTGCGCATGTTTAAATGCCTCGTTTAAGTTATTTATTTGACTCTGCATCTTTTGTCTGATCTGCATAAGTTAATGAGAAACGTGTATATACACTCGTAAATACACCTGTAACCTATTAACATTTCTATATGGTATTTGTAATCGTTACCTCATCTCTGTCTCGTTGGGCGGCACGCGCTGTTGCTCTGCACTGTGCCAATTGCCTTTCCATTTCGGCAATCTGGCCTTGCATCGATCTTCGCATAGTTTCACATCGTTCTTTTGTTCTCACTACTTGTCTAGCGGAATCTTCCCTTATCTTAAATAGAAGGAGAAGACTATTATTTGCGGAAAACATTTTTTTTATCGCTAAATCAATACATACCTGTTCTAACATTGATGACAATTGCGTGTTTTCGTGCATTTTCTCGTCAATACGTTTTTGCAACTGTGCTTCGTGTTCCTCAAATCGTGCCAATGTGTTTTTCATTCTTTCGTTTTCGTGTCGCAACTCACCACACTTTTTTTCCATCTCTTCGGATCTGTCGCAACCAAGTCCCCTTTCATCCTATATAAGTAATTAATTATTTTTAATTAACATAATGAAGTTACTATTATTATGTTAAATTATGTAGCAAATTACAACCTGAAGTGTTTGATGCTCGGTGCGCAATACGTCCAATTGATTTTGCAAAGTTTGAATCTTATCTTTGCATCCTAGCAATTCTCGCGACAGATCCTCGCAGCTACGTTCAGCGACTAAGCGCATCTGTTGCGCTTCCTGCATCTTCATTTGCATTTGTTTCAAGATATCAGGCAACGGTGCAAGCTCGGCTAATTTCTCTTGAAATTGATTCTAATTGCATTAATTACATTTAATATATATATATATATA